TTCTCACTCCTGACTTAGTAGCTGAAAATTAAGAAATGAATTTCTTTCAGCCAGAACAAAGTTTTTAAAAACAAAAATACTATTACATTTTGATTTTGAGAATGTTTGAAAATATCCTAGATCCTAGTTTTGGCTTGTGTAGATTAAGTTAGGGAATTGTTTTTAAAATTGCCATGTTCTATACTCTAAAAAAAAATCAGTGAATATTTTCTTACTATGTCATTTTCAAAATATGAAAATTACAGATATATAAATCTCAATCTAGATTCCTTTTATAAATAATGTCTTCTCCATATTTCTTACATGTTAAAGGGTTATTTTTATAATCTTGAGCATTATACTATAATTTCTAAGGCTTACTTTGTTCAATTCAAACTATTTCCAAGTTACTCTGGTATTTATGAGGAATAATTTTACATAAAACCTCCGAAATACTATCTATTAATCATATTAGTTTAATGTATGATTGAATTATACAAAATATAAGCAAAATATGTTGTAGTAATTACTTCTCTTTTACAGTCATCTTTCTTACCAATCTACTTTTTATTTTTCAACTTTTTATTTTCAATAGCTTCAAAAACAATTCTGTTTTGGGATTACAGTATACAACAATTTATGCTTCTTTAATCAGTTTTCTAGAGACTAGAACGAGACACCCCAGAGCTAAAGATCGTTTTTCCAAAAGAACTTAAAGAGGATGATGTAACCACTTCACTGAGAGTTAACAAACACGGAGAAAACCTTTGAATGCCCTGATTTAAGCCAGTTTTCTGCTAGTTTTTAGTATTTCCTGAGGACTCGTCGTTTCTTAGCCAAATCGTGCATTTTCATTAAATCATCTGTGAACAAATTCCGCAAGTTAAACTCCTCACTAGTGCACTCGCTCGTCTCCACAGGACCAAAGCGTGGTAGGGGCTGATACGGAATTAAGACACAGAGACAAACGCGCACTTCCTTCTTCTCCGTCTCGGAAAGGGGCTTGATCTTTAGTTTACTTCTGAGGAGACCGGCAGCGAATTGCTTACAACACCACAAACCCAGCAGGGACGCCGGCGCCCGGGCTGCGTTACCCAAATTAAACGCGATTATTTCGCTCGATCCGCGCTGTCCCCCGCACACTCCCGGTCATCTTTCCCTCGCCGCCTGCACCGATGGGCAGGTTTCGGCTACAGAAATCACTCGTCCTTCGGGTCTTAGGGCAGCCTCCACAGAAACGTGGTCTCTGCTCCGTCCCGGAATGTTTCGTTAGTTTTTTTTTTTGAGGGGCTGTGGGTTCTACTTAAACCAACCCTGCGGACCACAGAGAGGGAGGGGGCGGAACGAGTCGATTTCTCTCGAAGCCCACGGAGGTTCTGGCAGCGGGAAACGCACCGAGTCTCTCCGAAGTGGGTGCGGGCAAGGGAAGGGAAGATACGAGCCCGGCTGCGGAGCATGGCGCGGGCCCAGGACCGCGGGGCACCGCGCCGGCGGCCCTCAGGCGCGCGCCTCGGTGCCGCCGAGCCTTCTGCCCTCCTCAGGGGTCGAGCAGTCAAAGGGCAGGGGGAACGAAAGCCAGCAGAGCAGGAACCCCGTCCCGCCCCTTCCACCACAACAAAACCAACGAGGGCGCAAAGGGTTATTTTCGCGCCACAAAGATGGAAATGCACGAGCGGCGCGCGGGCCAATGAGCGGGCACCAGCAAACGGCTCCGGCGGCGGCGGCGCGCGCCGATTGGCTGCCTCGCTGCGCCAATCGGGCGAGGGCAGCGCCCCCGGCAGGGGCGGTGTCTCTCCCGGCGCCAGTTGCTCAACTCGGTGGCCGCGCCGGGGCCCGTGGAGCGCCTGCCCCGCCCCGCGGCCCGACCCCTCCCCGGTGCACCCGCAGGGCCTCGCGGGCGCCGCTCGTCCGCTGTCCGTGGGTGCCGAGCATCCCCGCGCGCCCGCGGTCGTGGAGCTGTGAGGTGGGGAGGAGCCACGAGGGGCGCGGCATGGCTCCCCCACCCCGGCCCCGCGCGGAGGAGCGGAGCCCGAGGCGGAGCCGGGGGCCTCGGGGACCGAGGCCAGGCCCTCGGCGGCGAGACCCTTCCCAGCGCGGGGGTCCCGCCTTCCTCCTCGCGGCCGGAGAGGGAGGAACCTCCTCTTCCATCTCTGGGGGGCACCATTTTTTTTTTTTTTTTTTTTTTGAAAATTTTAAACACGTGAAAATAATGAACGACTCCGGAGAGAGGGCCGAGCCGGGGCGGCGCGCGTCCCGCCTGCGGTCTGAGCGGACCGGAGCCCCGGAGCGCCGTCGGGACGCGCGGCTTGAGGAAGCAGCCACAGCCCCCGGGCCTGCTCCGAGTCCTCCCTCGGCGCGGAGAAACTCGCTTCGCCGCGGCAGGTTAGCGGGTGGAGGCGGCGCAGAGCGCACGTGGGGTGGGGTCTTCGTGGGCTGACCGCCCGCCCTTAGGGAACCCGGAGGAGCCCACGTGCGGTTGATTTGTGTGCGGCTCCTGGAGAGGCTGGGAGGCAGATTGACCCTCCGTTCGTTCTCGAAAATTCGCCAGAGATGGTTTCTGCACTCGAAGTGCCAGGGAAAAAAAAAAAAAGCAAGTGCTCACGCTATTCCTGCTACACGGCCGCGCGTGCACGTACCCCTCGATGCCTGGACGGCAGATCTGAGTTTGTGTGTGCGTCTGAGGGTCGGGTATTCGGTTTGTTACAGTAATACCCAGATGAAATTCACAAGCGCCTCAAGAACGCAGCTCATCACAAACAGCACACATTGGTTTTCAATTCCAGCTGTTCGATTTGCTTGGTAAAGACAGACAAGCACAGGCTAGTATTCATCGAAAATAAACAATATCCCTTGCTGTGGACGTAGGTATTTCCTTAGGTCTCGGCTTTAATAAGAGCAAATGCAGTCAGCAATGCAGAAGCCACCTTTCAGCCGATTTGGGGGCAGGCTGAATATATAAGTAGAGCTTGTTCTTAGGAAAAATTAAAAGATAAATGGCCAACAGGCTACAACATTTAGTGGTATTTATAAAAGCAAATAGTAAATGAAACGCATTTCAGGTTTTGATCACATGCAACAAGTACTTAAGGATTAATTCTTTGAATTTTGCATACCAAAAGTCATCAAAATCTTTTCAGAACTTTTTAAAAAAAGGGTGAAAAGAACAAGAGCTTTGAAAACTTAAAGCTAGTTGTAAATTCAGAGGAATTTCACCATTAAAATGTTCTTCCCAGATAAAGCTCATAACAGCTCCACAAGGGCGTTTTCCTCTCCCACAGCACAAAGTAAGAACGTTTTGCTGAATTAAACCTGAATGAAATTATTGTGAAAGCGTGTTTACAAAGTTGGATTTGCTTGGCAGGAGAGGAAAACCTGTTAGAAGACACAGCTGCTTTTAAAATGGATGATCTGACACCTTCCGGTTACTTAACATAAAATCATAAAGTAAGTTCCTTTTAAGAGACGAAACGTAAACACAATGCAAGAATTCCAGTGCTTCCAAAAAAAAAAAAAATCAGGTCCCGGTCACGCTTTATTGGGAAACACTTTTCAATGCCACACAGTATATAATGTGGTCGAAGAGTAGCCAACGGCACCGGCCGTGAGTTACCGAAGATGTTTGCAGCTACATTGCGATACCTTCTCTATTCACAACACATTTTCCTGCCGCCGAGAACACCGAGTCATTAAAGATCCCAGTGCCTGTTCCCGCGCTGCGTAGGATTTCATTCACTTTAAAGACGAGCGTTTTCCATCTCTCCCCTGGACTGTCTGCTACGAGCCCATCCCAGGGCTCCGGTGCACCCGAAAGACCCTCGCAGGCTCCCCGCCCGAGGCCCTCCCCCACGCCCACCATTGTGCTCGCCCCAGGCCGGCGAGAGGCGCAGGGCTCGCCCCGCCGAAGGCGCGCACCGAGGCGGCAGGGAGCGGCTCGGGCCATTTTGCAAGTGAGGCTGCCACCCAGGACTGGCGCGGGGCGGTCTTCCCCCGCACGGCTCCCAAGTTCTCCAACTGAAATCGTCTCCATAAAAGTGCCAACCCGCCTCGCCGCCCCGAGATCGCGGTGGGGGGGGGGGTCTCCCGCAGGCCGCCCCTCCCCCACCGGCGGCCGGGCCCGCCCCCGGCCTCATTTATCCCGGAGCCTTTTCCGAGCCGCGCAGCCAATGGCAATCGCGAAGCCGAGAGCCACCGCGAGCGCAGGCGGAGGAGGTGTCGCGCAGACGCCCGCCCCGGACGCCGCGCCCCTCCCCCGCCGGCTCCGGGGGCGCGGGGCTCGGCCCCCCGCCCCTCGCCGCGTCCGGTCCCCGCCGCCGGGGGGCGGGGCGGGGTGGGGACAGGCCCCGGCCCGCACCTCCGGCGTCTTCCAGGCAGCCAGGCGAGTTGGGGACGGTGACTCTCGGCCTTGGTCGTTCATCACCTATTTGCAAAAAAAAAAAAAAAAAAAAAAAGGAAAAAAATCGAATAATTAAAAACTGCGGTTCCGAGAGCCGGGGAACTGCCCAGCAAGCAACCCCAACCCCTGCACCCTGGAAAATAAAATCAATGCCCCGGCCTCCCCCCACCCCTCGCTCCCGCCCCGCCGGCCCCCGGGCAAACTCGGCGGCGCCCCCCGTCCCCCGCCACCCCGGCCGCGCCCCTCCCCCACGCCGCCCCGCCCCCACCCCACCCCCACCCCCACCCCCACCCCCACCGCCTCTCGCTCTCTGCCTCCTCTCCTCCGAAACCCACTCTAATTGAGGCGCCGGGATTCCTCACGTGAGACGTTGATTTGTAGCTTGAACACGTGGCTCATTCAAAAAGCCGGGCCCTCGCCGTGGATTCCTGCGCCCGCCCGCGCCCCTCCCGCGTGCCCGCCGCGCTGCGGGGGCCTGGTGGGGCGGCGCTGCGCCGGGCCCCGCGCCGGGCGCTATTTTCGCCGCGCGGCGGGGCCGGGCCGGGCCGGGGGTGGGGGGGGCGCCAAGTAGTTTCCTCCCCCGCCCCTCCCCCCGCGCGGGCTGGTCCCGCCTCCGCCTCTGCCTCCTCCTCCTCCTCCTCCTCCTCGGAGTTGGGAAGACTCGTGGATGCGCCCGGGCTGGGGCTGGGCTTTCTCTCTCCTCGCTCTCGGTTGCAGCGCCCGGGAAGGGGCACCCCGCGCCCCCCGGACCCGGGCTCGGCGCGCGCGGACCTGCGGGACCTGGCCCTCGCCGCTGCCGTGTTTTTCATTTTTTCGTCCCCCCACCCCACCCCGCGCTGTGTTCCTGTTTCCGAGCCGCCCCCTTTCGCGATGAACAAACTGTACATCGGGAACCTGGGCGAGGACGCGGCGCCCGCGGACCTCGAAAGTATCTTCAAGGACGCCCAGATCCCGGTGTCGGGGCCCTTCCTGGTGAAGGCGGGCTACGCCTTCGTGGACTGCCCGGACGACGGCTGGGCCCTCAAGGCCATCGAGGCGCTCTCAGGTGGGCCCCGGCCTGGCCGCCGCGCCCGGAGGCGCCACGGGACCCCAGGCCGGGCACTCAGCGCGCGGCGCGGGGGTCCAAGGGCCCGGGCCGGACGCGCTGTCAAGAAAGCCCCGCGCGGGCACGGAGGGGCGCGGGGCCGCGGCGGGCGCGCGCTCCAGGCCCCGCCACGCCGGGCCCGGGCCGGGCGCGGGCGCCTGCTCGCCCTGCTGCTCCCTGCGGGCTAACCTCTGCTCGCTAACTCGTGGCCTGGACCCGGCTGCCTCTCGGCCTAAGGGAGCGCACGGTATCCCGGACACGGGCTGCCTAGGGAGGCCGCGGGGCTGGTGCCTTGCACGGGCGGTCCCGCGCCGCCCCGGCTCCACCTCGCCCCGTCCGACGCGCGCCGGGGGCAGGTGGGCTCGGGCGGCGGCGGCCTCCGGGACTGGCGGGGCGCGCGCGCTGGTCCGGGGCGCGCGGGGCGACGAGGCCTGGGGCGGCAAGGTTGCGCTGGTTCCCTCCGAGAGCCCTGAGTCTTAGGGCTTCTCCTCCTACCGACTCAGCCTGGCTGTGGGCGCTCGGCTCGCCCTGTGCTCGGCCGCACGTCCGGCCGGCCCCGGCTCCGGCGCCAACGGTTCCCGGAGGGCCTGGGCTGGGACCAGAGAACAGGACTGGGCGCCCTCTCCCCCGAGTCGGCCCTGTGGGGGAGGGTCCTGGAGAGGCCGGAGAGACCCGGTGCCTGGCTGCCACCCGAGGGGCCCCCACTTCCCGAGGGGCCCGCTGCCCACCAGCGTAGCGGCGGCGCCGAGGCCTCGGGGCGGCCGGTGGCGCCGCCCAGGGTGTGTGGGGCTCGGGGCTCCGGCGACCCGACAGTCTCATGTCTCGTGTGTCCGCAGGTAAAACGGAACTGCACGGGAAGCCCATCGAAGTTGAGCACTCGGTCCCAAAACGGCAGAGGTGAGCGTCTTTATTCTTTTCTCGCCCCATTGTTGGGAGCCCAGACTCCACCGAGCGCAAACCCTTTCCCCGCACCCCGCCCCGGGCTCTTGGCCATTGTGCTGGCGAGGAAGGGGGTCTCTCGGAGGACGCTCTGGGCATAGCAGGTCTAGGTGGTGCCGCAGGGCGCGGGAGGCTGCGGCCGGCCCAGGTGCGGTGGGCCTGCCCGGGAGCCGGGGCGCGAGGCCGGAGCTCGCCCCTACCCTGCTGGCGCGCCGGCCGCGCTTGGGTCCCGTCCCGAAGCCTGGGCTTCCCGGCCCAGCGGAGCCTCTCTCGGCCCCTCCAGACTCACACAGGTCTTTGCCGACCGTGCCTTTGTCTCCCTCTGCGCCCCCACGCCCCCTGCCCCCTTTTTCCTGGGTCTCTCTTTGCTTTCAGCTGAGCCCCAGGGTGGTGAGACGGGGAGGTGGGTGCTAGCTCTGCAGGAGGATTTCTCCGAGAACGTGCGTAGCGTGCCTTTTTTGGGGCAGCGTTGTGCAGACTCCTCGAGCCTCTGAAGTGTTTTCCAGACCAGGCCGGATCGGGCTCTGTAATCCTGTGTGTGGCGCTGGGTTCTTGCAGGGTGACCCTGGGGCTCCTGCTTCCCACCGCCCCACTCCTTGCCGGGGCCTGACAAGGAGCTCCAGGCTGCTGCGCCCCGGGGCCTGCGTACGTGCGGCCTGGCGTCGGGGAGAGCGAGCTGGGGGCCGCACGGTTCGCTGTGCGGACGCGCGCCGGCGTCCGGCCGCCCCTGCTTCTACAACCAGCTGCCTTCCGGGTAAAGCGTTTGCAAACTGAGTCTCGTTTCTAGGAATGAGTCGGCTTGGTTTTACGTGGAGGTCTCTGGTTTTAGGCGCTGAATTTTCGTTAGGATACGTAGGAAAGGGAGTAACCGATTAGATTTAGTTGTAGTTGGGAATTATGTTTAATTACATGAAATTATTTTTAAAAACCTGTAAAATAATAGAATTTGTACTGAAAAGTCTCAGTTGATGTTAATTGAACGGGACTTGAAGAAAGGAGAAGTCTTATCCCTCTAAAAAGAAATGTATACGTCTAGCATGTGAATTGTGAACCTAAATACACACACACACACACACCTCCACACCTGCAAATTCTAAATGATTTCAGAGTTTAAGCACTGTCTTAGTTTTCATCAAATGTTGAATTAAAAGTAAGAAAATGGTAATGCTTTAAGGACTGGCATTTTAACAGTGGAGAGTTTTAAATGTAAATACTTAGTGTCTTGTTTTCAGGTAGATTGGATTAACCTACATGCAAATATATGATGGCTTCACCCTCTTGCTTTTTGTTTCCAACTGTTGTGAATTTCTTCTCACTTGTAGGGGATTGAGAAACATCTTCTGGTAACAACTGCTTGTTTTAAAGGGTTTTTTTTGCCTAGCCCTGAACATGCTTGTTACTTTGTAATGGGCGGTAGTTCCTCTTAGCACATTAGATACAACGTTTCCAGAGGCAGCAAGTGTCTCTGTGGAAGTTTGTCAAGGTTGTAAACAAGGTGAATTTTCACTAGCATTATACTGTGTCACTAGCAGAGTGAAGGGGTGAATACAGTGGAAACTTTTTTATGCACTAATTTGAGAGAACAATCAAGGGCTGTAAATGCTTTGCTTGTATTAAAATGTCTTAAATAGGAGAATCCAGGAAATTTACTGGAAATTTATAGTACGATTTGGTTCCCGTGACCCTTGGAGCTGTAGTGCAGTCCTCTGTTTCTGGGCTGTTCCACCGCCTGCACAGGCTCCCGGGAGAGGGCAGAGAAGGCTTCCCTGACAAGCCCACGCCCAGTACTGTGGCAAAGCTGAGCAGTGGCACACAGCGGTGGAGCAGTGAGAGTGGCTTGAGTGTCACAGACTGCTGCGTGCCAAGCAAGCTGGCCGGACTTCTTTATGCTTGGCAGCCCTTCATTCCCGTCTGTCATTGTGTGCACATGAGGCCAGCATGCCCACATGTACAGCCGTGACCTTTCTACCTGCTGTGCAAGGCATCTTGGGAGCCTAGTGCTGGAGCATGCTTATGGCTGGTCTCTGAGATGGATGAATGGGCTTCAGCACCCGAGCAGGGCGCAGGCCCAGGAGGCAGTTGGATGCTTGGGAGGCTGGTCTAGCTCTGATTTTGAGCCAAGCTGGTGGTGTGGGTGGTGGTGGGGGAGGGCATTGTTGAGTTTGCTTGAGATCCAGCTTAGCTCCCCGAGATTACTTCTCTCCTGACCGAAGTCTCAAGGGAATGTGGAAGGAATGTGGCTTTTCAGCATTCAGATGCCCCTCAGTTTGGGAAGATTGTATCAGTCTCTCAGAGGGCTTGAGATCCCCGCGTCCACAGTGGAGGAAGGATTCAGCCGGTGAGAGATGGTGGCGTGCTTTGTGTCCCACATACCAAGGCTACGGCAGATGAAGACTTCACCCCCAAGGTATAAGCTTGCCTCTTTTTTCCTTCTTCCTTGGAGGTCTGGGTGAGTGTGGAAGTAGTTGTGACTTTGAAAGGTTGTAGCTGAGTTTGGTGGGAACGGCCGCTGGTGATTTGTGGGCATTTGCTCCTGTGTGATTTTATAAATAGCACTGATGTGATGTTGTTGTGTTGTGGGCTGTTGGGCATGAGAGAGGGAAGGGGAAAAAAAGTTGCTGACTCTGGGGAACTGAGAGGATGGTGGTTTTAGTTCAATTTCCATGGCTTTTTTATATTATGAAAATAATTTTTCCCATTTTCAGCCTAGCCATTTGTGATGGAACCTCCCTATGATTTTGTTGTTAGTGCTGATAAGGATTATACATAGCTGAACATAAATTTGAATAAAAGAGAGAAAAATAAAATATTGTTTTAGCAGGAAGGATCTTTTAAAATCAATATTGGTGTCTAAGCTCAAAAATCCTTGTTTTTTGTTTCTTTAAAAAAAGGAAATAAAGTGAACAATTTACTTTTTCATATGAGAATCTTATCCTTAACATAAATTGGATAGAGCATTGTGCAAGTCTGGGGGGAGGTTAAAGGAATTGGCTAGTGTTGCCTCTTAATAGCTGTTAAGTGTAGAGTACTGATGAGCAAGGGCATGGCGCTATGGCTGTAGGGCTGGCTTCACAGTCTTAGCACAAGCACTGTTGTACACGCTGAACACTGCCACACAGGTGTCAGTAGCTGTGCCGCTCCGTGTCGGTGCCCTCCAGGTGAGCCTGATGACATTCTCACACCTGCAGAGACTTGAGATTCTGAACGTGAGAACCGTAAGCTGAGTTTATCAGCAGTGCCTCTTAGAGTGGTTGCAGCTGGAGAGGTTTTTTTTTTATTATTTCTTAAATTCTCAATACATTTTGAAAGGATTTGAAATATTTCATGTTTTAGACCTAATAGAATTAAGAAATTTTTAAAAATTTGAGAGGCAGAGAGTGAGAGGGAGCAGGAGCATGTGAATGAGTTTCCCACTCACCTGTGCACTCCGCAGATACCTGCAACTGCCAGGGGCCCAGCGCTAGGAGCTGGAAACTCCAGGTCACTCCTGGGTGACAGGGACCCAACTACTCTTGAGCCATTACTGCTGCCTCCCAGGGTTCCCGTTAGTGGGAAGCTGGAATGGTGGGTGGAGGGTGGAGTCAGGAGCTCTGATATAGGGCACAGGCAGCTTAACCACTAAGCCAGTGCCCCACCCTGGCCCTAGTAGAATTTTTGCAAATTAAGTGAATGCTACACAGCACCAGAACCCAGGGAAGACGTTAGAGAAGTGTGGCTGGAGCCAGTGGGAATTGGGAGGCTCAGCTTCTGTTTCTGGCTCTCAACTTGTGTGATCACTGACATTCTGTGGTGAGGCCAAAGACCATTCCGATAGGCCGAGAGGGGCGGATTTTGTTCTCATGGTTTTTGCTCTGCTTGGAACGATTCATAAGCTAAGGCTTCAAAACACCTTTTGAAACGACGGAGATCTGGGGTTTTCCCTGTCAAAGAGCCTGACTTGAGTTTGTTTGCATTTGCTTTTACCTCTGTCTCTTTTGGGCAGTCAGCAAGAGGGAAGTGATCTTTTTGTGCTTTGAAACCCTTTTCTGAGCCACACTGGTGCTGTAAATGTGTTGATAGAGGATTGATTTTTCGTATTAAAGTGACATGGTTGAACCACCTGCATCTATTTCAAATGACACCATTGTAATTGTCCTCAGCAGTGTCCAGACAGCAGCTTTTCTAGAATAATTTTCGAGAGGTATGAATTACGCGTTCTGTAGCTCTGGCGGTTGGTTTGGTCCGCGCTGTGCTATTCCTAGCCAGGCTTACTCTGTTGACCATTTGCCTCTGATTCAAGCTCTCAGAGCCTTCAGGCAGGAGGTGGCAGTGTGGGAGCGGTGACCAAGGAATGGGATTGGCATCCTTACTTAGGATCTCTGCCCCATAAATCTGCTGTTTACAAATTGGCTTGGGCTGCCAGGATTTTGCTTGCAGGCAGGTGGCAAGCATAGTTTTGAGTGCCCCATTAAAATTGAGGGTGTCATTTATCAAGGTCTGAATTTGCTATTTGGCAAGAGTTCACTATTGGTAAATAAACAGTTATAAATATTAATACAGCATGTGAATTTTATTGCCCTGAAGAGTAATACTCAGAACATAAACTGTACATGTTTTAGGGAATTATCATGAGACCATTTAACTTGATGAGGAAATGGTTGAAGTTATTGCAGAAGTGTTCTTGGAGGGCTCTTGAAAGCTGCAAGTGCAAGGAGGCCTGAATGCACAGAAAACCTGACAGGAGTCATTGAGCGAGTGCACTCTGTTGTGAAGGTGATGTTTCAGTTAGCTACCGACGCTCACCAAACCAGCCCAGAACAGCAGCTCTTTCTCAGGATTCTATGGGCTATGTGGTTTGTTCTGTTCCGTATGTTTTCTTGGGTCAGTTACTAAAATGGGCTAAGGTGGTCAGAAGGCTTCACTCAGGCCTGGCGCCATGGCTCACTTGGTTAATCCTCCCCCTGCAGCGCCGGCATCCC